AGGTCATGTAGGTCATATCCGAAGTGTCGAAGCTGTGGCCAGATACTCCCTCGCTGATTACGGAGTCCACAGACAAGGTGACGAAAACAGGAGAACCTGCCACGTTCGTCCACAGTCCACTGCAAGTGGGCTCAGGGGAAAACATTAAGAGCCCGCGTAGACTGTGACCACTGTTGGTTTGGGTAACACTGCGTGCGACAGGCAGCCTTGACCCTAATCCTTTTCCAACCCTTCTCTTAAAGCTGACCCTAACCTTAATCTTTGCGAGGACCTAAGCGTTAGTGCTTTTTGAAGCTTTGGCAGAAACATTATCCTAATTTAACATTTCTACCTAAATCAAATAAGTAGACATTTTATAGTCATAAAAACGAGAACTTGCAGTCATTGTATTTTCACTTCCTCAGGGTCTGTGCAAATTGGGAGCCCTAGGCGGTGCGGATGCCAGTGCACAGAGCCTGGCAGAGGGTTCGACGGCAGTTCTCACCAAAGCCTGCCGACGTCTGCTCTTAAAGAAGCCAACAACTGTGACTGCTGCCACCAAGAACCAGAACGGCGAGGCCGCAAAGGACGGCGGGGCAGTAGACTTTGTCCGACTCGGTCCTCTGGACGAGGCTAACTCCATTCGGTGGGCTATAGACGGTTTGGCTTTCCTCAGTCTCAATGCAGAGGTCAAGGAGGCCATTGTTCAGGACGAATTGTTGGTTGCGGCAATATTTAAAGTAGCTGAGGTAAAAAAAATCATTGACCTTGTTTGTTTGAAAGTAATCTTAGTTTTCTTGTCAAGCACACCAGTCAGTCTTACATTGTTTCGTGTACAGGTCTTTTACTCTAGTGCTTATTCAGTTTCCTTTTACATTAACCCTCTTCATTTGAATTACTAAGGAAGATATATCAAGCGCACATATTGTCTCATTTCTGAGCCCTTTTATGGCAACAGGATGCTTTTTTCTAAATTATTGATTGGCTAAGGAGCCCATAAATATGGGCCACACAAAGGAACCGTAGTCCACTATTTCATTTGCAGTCAGGAAGGATCGACGTACGCCACTTTTATGCAATTAAGGTTAGAAATTTGGCTCCGTGATTTCATCAGTTTTCTCAGTATGTGCGTGCGTGTATGGATTCATGTGCCTCGTGGTACAGCATCCTTAGCTACGCTGCTGTATCACACTACGTTTCGTACGACTATCTCGGTAGTTGATGAGATAATATTATTTCTCTCCTTCCCTACCCAATATTCATCTTTGATTCTTGCCGAATTTTTAGTCCCAAAAGTAGAGGTTTTCTCTATAAAGCCACAGTTCTTTGTGGCAGCCCAGCCAGGTTAGCTCTCTCCTCGAGTCTACAAATAATAAAGAAATTAACTAATAAGATGCAATCTCATGAATTGCCGATTAGCGCTTGGTGAAAGCGACCAGCCAGCTTTTTCCCCTCTATGAAAGCTTTTGTTGAGCACATGGTATATTCTTCGTATTTTATATGAAGACTCCTTAATGTAAGCAAGTAATAGGAAAATGTAGGAGGTCTGGTAAACCGTATCCAACATTCTAGTGGTTCTAATGCACTTTTTAAATTATTCGGCACTTTTAACGCACCGAATGCCTAAAAGAGCATTTGCTCAATAATAGTCATTTTATTTGGAGTAAATGACAGAAGCTACCAGAAGGTATTGAAACGGTAGAACTATGAACGAAATGACGTTAGGTTGAAAAATTATGTATAGGTCGTTTTAATATACAGAATGAAACATTTGCGGAAAGACAACACGACAGTTCGAGTTCGACGATGGGCAAGAATAACAACAGACAGCACGTTCATAGCATTTGCATTATGATCCTTTCGTCAGTTAAATCTAACATAAACAAAACGGTCTACTAAAATAATGAAAGTAGCATGTTAGTTATCGTGATGAAAGTAGGTGGTTACAGTGCAAATATCTGGGTCGTTCATCCAACGCCTCATCCACCTTTCTTTTTCTTAGATGGGCCTCTTGGATGCCGCCTTTCCCCTCGCCAGTCTGTTAGCGAATCTAACAAACAGTTTTGAGGAGAAGGAGATCAGCCCGGAGATGTTAGAGTTGGCAAAGTACGCCAAGCAGCACGTGCCACAGAAGCATGAGCTAGACGCGCCTAACGTGGTCGCCGCGCGTCGTCAGTTGCTCCTCGACTTGGGCCTTCCCTCCTGTCTCTATAACCTCACCATGAAGTTGGCCAGTG